CCCAGGTAAATACCCGGAGTTGGAATTGCCGGGACATACGATAATTCTCTTCTTAACTTTTTAAGGAACCGCCATGCTGTTTTACAGAGTGGCTGTGCCAATTTACGTTCCCACTAACAGCATAAAAGGGTTGCCTTTTCTCCAAGTCCTTTCTGATACTTGTGATTCATTGTGTTTTGTTTTGCTTTTTAAATAATAGCCACTGTAACAGGTGTGAGGTGGTTTCTCATTGTGGTTTCGATATGCAATTCCCTAATAACTACTAATGTTGAACATCTTTTCACATGTATGGTGGCCATATATATGTCTTCCTTAGAAAAATATCTTTTCAGATCCTCTGCCTATTTTTTAATTGGATTGTTTTTTTTGTTGTTGTTGATGTGTACAAGTTCTTTACATATTTTGGAAGTTAATCCCTTATTGGAAATATTGTTTGCAAGTATCTTTTTTTCATTAAGCTGGCTGCCGTTTTGTTTCCTTGATGGTTTTTTCAATTTTTTTATGTATTTGTTTTTTTAATCCTCACCCAAGAATATATTTATTGATTTTAGATAGAGAGGAAGGGAGGGAAAAGAAGAGGGAGAAACACTGATGTGAGAGACAAACATTGATTGTTGCCTCCTAGATGCACCCGACCAGGGACCGAACCTGCAACATTGTGATGCGCAGGGCAACAATCCAACTAAGCCTCCCAGCCAGGGCTCACTGACTGTTTCTTTTGTTGTGCACAAGCTTTTTACTTTGATGTCCCATTCATTTATTATTGCTTTTGTTTCCCTTGCTTAGGAGTCAAATTCACAAAAACACTTCTGAGACCAATGTAGAGAAGCTAAGTGCCTATGTTTTCTTCTATGACTTTTATTGTTTCAGTTCCTGCATTCAACTTTTTAATTCATTTGAGTGAATTTCATGTGTGCTATAAGACACTGATCTAGTTTCATTCTTCTGAATATGGCTGTCCAGTTTTCCCAGCCCCATTTATTGAAGAGACTTTGCTCTCTCCATTGCATATTTTTGGCTCTTTTCTCATAAGTTACTTTTCCTTATATGTGTGGGCTTATTTCCAAACTCTCGATTCTGTTTCATTGGTCTGTGTTTCAGTTTTTCTGCCAATGCCACACTGTTTTGGTTACTATAGGTTTATAGTATAGTTTGATTTTTCTTCTTTTTTTAATCTTCACTATAGGATATGTTTATTGATTTTTTGTAAGAGACAGAGAAAATAGGTGGGGGTAGAGAGAGACAGAAAGACAGAAGACATTGATGTGAGAGAGAAACATCAGTTGGTTGCCTACTATACATGCTCTGGCCAGGATTGAACCCACAGCCTTTGGGTATATGGGATGATGCTCCAACCAACTGGCCAGGGACATAGTGTAGTTTGAAATCAGTGTATGTGATAACTCCAGACTTTTTATCCCTCTGGATTGCTTTAGCAGTGTGGGGTCTTTGGGAGTTTCATATATATTTGAGAATTTTTGGTCCATTTCTGTGAAAAATGCCATTGGGATTGTGATAGGGATTGCATTGAATCCGTATATTCTATTAGGTAATATGGAGTTTTTTAACTGTGTTTAGTCTTCCAATCTGTGAATATAGAATATCTTTCCATTTTTTGTGTCTTTAATTTATTTCAACAATGTCATGGTTTTCAGTGTACAGGTCCTTCACCTAATGTATTAAGTTTGTTTCTGGGTATTTTATTCTTTTATTGTGATTATAAATGAGGTTGTCTTTTAATATTTATAGAGAAATGAGGCAGATTTTTATATATTGATTGCATATCCTACAACTCTACTATAATATCTTACTATTTCTAATATTGTTTGGGTGAATCTGTAGGGCTTTTTAATGTATAAAATCACGTGATCTACAAATAGTGACATTTTTACTTCTTTTTCAATTCAGGTGCCTTTTATTTATTTATCTCTTGCCTAATTGCTCTGGCTAGTACTTCCAGTGCTGTGTCGAATGACATTGGTGAGAGTGGGCATCCCTGTCATGTCCTTATCTTATAGGAAAAGCTTTCAGTTTTTTACTGTTGTGTATGATGTTAGCTGAGGGTTTGTCGTGTGTGGCTTTTATTATGTTGATGTAATTTTCTTTTATACTCATTGATAGTTTTCATTATAAATGGATGTTGTATCTTTTCAAGTGCTTTTAATGCATCTGTTGAGATCATCATATGATTTTCATCTTTCATTTTGTCATTGTGGTGTGTCACGTTTATTGATTTGCATATGTTGAGTCATCCTTGCATCCCTGAATTCCACTTAACTGTGGCAGGGGATACGTTTAATGTAGTGTTGCATTCTGTTCACTGGCACTTTGTTGAGGATTTCTTTTATCTGTGTTCATCAGAGATGCCGGCCTGTAAGTTTGTGTGCATGTGTATGCTGCCATTACCTGCTTTTACTGTCAGGGTAATCTTCTGTTTGTTAAATGAATGAGCAAGTATTCCCTCCTTCTCAGATTCTTGGGAGAGTTTGAGAAGGAAATATATTAAATCTTTTTTGAATGTTTTGTACAATAGAATTCACCAGTTGAAGCCAGGTCCTGGATTTCCGTGTTTTAGGATGTTTTTAAGTAGTGCTTTAATTTTGTTACCTTGTGATCAGTCTGTTCAGGTTTTCCAATTCTTCGTGGTTTAATCTAGAAAGGTTGTGAGCTTCTAAGAATTTGTCCATTTCCTCTAGGTTTTTAATTTAGTGGCCTATAGCTTTTCATGGTACCCTTGTATAATCCTTTGTATTTTTATTATATCATTTTAATTTGAATTCTTTTACTTCTGCTTTTATTTATTTGAGTTTTTTCTCTTTTTTCTTAGTGAATTTACCTAGAGGTTTGTCAGTTTTTTTATTTTCAAAGAACCACTTGCTCTTTTATGAAATTTTTTCTATTCTATTTTTTTCTTTCACTTCTTTTTCACTCTTATTTTTATTATTTCTTCCTTCTACTAACTTTGAGCTTTGTTTGTTTCTTCTTTTTCTAGCTCCTCCAGGTGTAATATTGGGTTTTTTATTAGTGAATTCCCTCTTAGTACTGCTTTTTTTGCATCCCAGAAATTATAGTATGTCATATTTTCATTTTTAGTTGTGTATCTGTATCTTTTGAGTTCTTCTTTTACTTGTTCTTTGACCCAGTAGTTGCTCAGTAGCATGTTGTTTAGTCTCCACACATTTGTGATATTTCCAGTTTCCTTTCTATAGTTGATTTCTGGTTTCATACCACTTTGGTTAGACTAGATGCTTGTTAGGATTTCGGTCTTCTTAAATTTATTGAGACTTCTGTCCCAACATATGGTCTGTCCTTCAGAATGTACCATGTGCACTTGAGATGAATGTGTCTCCTGTTTTGGATGGACAGTTCTAATATATCTACTAAGTCCATCTACTCTGTGTCATTTAAAGCCAGTATTCCATGTAGACTCTGTCTTCATGATCTGTCCATTAATATAAGTGGGGGTATTGTTAATTCCTCCCTACAGGTTTGTTAATAATTGCTTTATATATTTTCATGCTTCTGGGTTGGATGCTTATATGTTAATAAAATGGTTATCTTTTTGATGGATTGGCCTGTCATTATAAAATACCTATATATGTCTCTTTATTTTTTGTCATAACATCTATTTTGTTTGATATAAATACAACTGCATCTTCTTTTCTCTGGATACCACTTGCTTGGAGTGTCATCGTCCACCCCTTACAGTGAGCCAGTGTCTTGTTTTGTAGCAGAAATGAGTCTCCTGAAGGCAGTATATAATTGGGTCATGTTTTTTAACCTAATCTGGTACTTTGTGCCTTTTGATTGGTGAATTCTGTCCATTCACATTTAGGGTGATTATTGACATATCAGGACTTACTACAGTCATTTTATCTTACTTAGTTCCAAATTCAAATATTTCAAACAAAACCGATCATTGTTAATAGCCCCCTTTTAGCTCATGATAACTGGTTACGTCTTTATAATTTTAAGAACTACCATAGACTATCGATCCAGAAATTGAAATAATAATGCAGCAAATGAGTATGTGAAACTAATCCTGCACAGATGGAAATCATACAGCTTAGAACTTCATGATGATTCATATTCTTGGAAGACGATTGCATTCTTCCCTAGAGCCTGTCCACAGGGGGGTGTACAAAGTGATGTAATTTTCATGTTTCAGTTTTAACATCTGCTGCATGGTAGTTTGACTATATTCCTATTGAAGAAACATCTATAAATATTGGTAAAGATTTCCTTCTTACTTTTGTTCCCAGGCTGTTTATCTCTGCAGTCATTCTTTTGGCTGCACTCTGCAGTCTTTTCCTAGCATTCGACCTCCCTGGGATTTGACCTGGGCCTGAGTAGTTCCACCAAGTGGTGTGTTTTTCAGAGCCACATGCTGAGACTGGCTTTTTTTGCTCTCTCTTGCTTTCCCACATATCCACACACTGCTAGCTCTTTAACCACAGTAAGAACCCAGGTTTTAAATGAGCAGTTGTTTAACCAGTTTATTTTAGTTTTGTCATTTTTCATGAAACCTGTGGAAGAATGAAGAGAAAAAATTTTTAAATTTGAATGTGGCTTAGTGTAGGTTTTTAAAAAATTATAGAGATGATAACAAATATAAAAATTGACAGGGGAGATATTAACACAACCAGATTGAAATTTCAGCAGATTATATTATTGAGTGGTAAAAATTATATGTACTACATGCAGAGTTGGTGTCAGATTAAATATTTTAATTGGTGTAAAAAAAGTGTGGGACACTAAAAGCTAAAACTTAAAAAGCAGGCTGAGATATTTGTGCAGTTAAAAGACATAACTCTCTATACGCATAGCAACAGATTGTTTCATTGTTTGTTTGTGTAACTGGTATCTTCTGTGCTCTACAGTCTTGGAATAGTAGAATCATTTGGGAGGGACCGTGGAGGACATTACTGGAATTGGATTGGCATTGTTCACACACTGGTCTGTTCTCTGATTTAAAATCCTGTCTTTGTTGCTTTTCTTAGGTGGGGCTCTTCCCTGGACACTGTGTTGAGTTAATTAATCAGAAAGTTCCCCAATCAGTGACCAACTCAGTGCCAAAACCAGGTGAGTACTCTTTTTCATTAGTGCGGTTGGTTATTTTATCAACTTATTTTATCAACTGTGTAACTACACAGATGTTCCCTTCTGGTCACAGAGCTCATTTTGCTGCTCTTTGTATTTGCTGATGTGATATGCATTCTTTCTTTTACGTGGCTTTGATATTGAGATTTTTATTCCTTTATTGATCATTTCACAAAGGTTTATGTGCACTCAGAATTTTAGACAACTTTATAGAACTATTTGCTCCATTAAGCTTTGTTATTTTTTGTTTTTATAATTACACTGTAGGAATATAGCTTATTAATGAATAAAATGATAAAAATAGTTTTTGCAATTGGGAAGTCCTGCTTTATTCTTTTTCAGGGTTAATTGGCTTTTCTGGGCCCCTTGCCAATTCCATATGAATTTTAGAATCAACTTTTTTTTTTTTAATTTTTAATTTTATTTTATTTTTAATTTATTGAGTTATTTTTCAAGTACAGTTTTCTTTTGTCAATTTCTCCCATCCCAAACCCCCTCCGCCCGGTCTCCCCACCTCCCTCCCATCCCCCCCTCCCCACAGACCTCATCCCTGTGTCTTTCATATAGAATCAACTTTTTAATTTTCACAAATAAGTGAGCTGAGATTCTGACAGGGATTGTGTTGAGTCTATATATGAATGTGGGAGTTACCATCTTGTCATTATTTATTAAATCTTCCAGTCCATGAACATGGGGAATTATTCCATTTATTTAGTCTTTCTTTAATTTTTTAAAATGTTTTGTTTTTTTTTAGGACATAAAATTTGCATTTCTTCTATTAAATGTGTTTTTTATTCTTTTCTTTTTGATGCTATTAAATGGAGTTTTTAAAATTTAATTTCTTATTTACTGCAAGTACATAGGAATATAATTTTATATGTTAATTTCATATTCTGAAACATTGTTGAAATGTTTATTCTATAATTTTTAGTGGATTTCTTGAGATATTCTATTTACAAGATCATGTTGCCTGTGAATAGAGATATTTTTACTTTTTTTCTAACAATCTGAAATTTTTTTTCATTTTCTTGCCCAATTGCTTTAGCAAGAACATGTAATATAATGTTGGATAGAAATTTAAGAATTGGCATCCTTGCTGTTTTTTTGATCTTAGGAGAAAGCATCTGGTTGTTAACCGGAATTAGCTGTGGGGATTTTGCAGCTGCCCTTCGGCAGGTTGAGGAGGTGCCCTTCAATTCTTAGTTTGTTGAGGGATTTTCTCATAAAAGTGTGTTGAATTCAAGTACTTTTTATCTGTGAGATGATCGTAACTATTTGTGATCAGTACTTTGAAGTTATTAAAATTTAACATCAAAATTTATTCCTTTTGCATTGTTTTTATAAATTTCTGCTGTAAAAGCTTAACTTTTATTAGTTATTAAGCCTCATCTTTGATAATTTTGCCTCAGATATACTATAAATTGAGTTTTTAAAAATTAGCTTAATATCAATATTAAACTGTATCAGTCAAATACTTTCTCATGTTTTGGATGAGAAAATGACATTTCTAATTGTGATAACCTTCAGAAGCTTTTGAAACTTGAGAAATTTAATCAGTTATTGATATTTCTGGGAAATAGGTTTCTATTGATAGACTCATATGGATTATTAATTCTAAATTAGTAATGACATAGAATGACAGCACCCCTTCAAAAGCTAATTATTTTAGCTTTTATGAGCAGCATCGCAGGATTGTCATAGGGAAATGTGCATTCTTAGTACATTTTGGAAAGGATGATGTGAGTTCTATCAGCCTAAGGCTCGTTTCACACGTTGAAACTGTCTTTGCCCACAGTACAAGCAACTTCAACGTTCTGTTTATTTTTAACATTGCCATCTGTCACTGTTAGATACCAAATCTGAAAGATGTAACTGTAGTTTGAGATTGAAGTTTAAATCTCCCTATATTATTACACAACAAGGGCAATAGGAAAAAAAATTCTCTTTGGAGTTCTTCTTAATGTTCTCAGTTTGTTCAATTATTTGTATATGTAAAATTGAAATTAATGAGTCATCATGTCCTGCTTGGAGTTTACCAAGCAGTTACATCTTTTTATTGATTTCATTCTTTAAGTTTTTAATGTTCTCGACTGTTACCTCTTCAGTTATTCCTTTTGCACAGCTCTTTGCTCCTCCTTGCCTTACTCACCAGTCACATTCTTTGTCATTGTCTTGCACATCCTCTCCAGTTTGGATACTTTCTAGTGACCTCTCTCAGAGTTCACTGACTCTTTTCCCTGTGTAGGCATCTCTTAAGTCTAACTAATAAGTTCTTAAATTCTCATATATTTTATTTTTAGGATCAACTTTGGGTCTTTTTTTTTTGCAGTTCCAAGGTGGAATTCTCCATCTTCTGATAGTATTTACCTTTTCCTATATTCAGTAAGCAAGAGGCTGGTGGGGAAGGGAGGCAGAGAGGGAGGACTGCGGGGAGAAGTGATGAAAAAAGAAAAATTATGAAATAAAAAGGTGAAAAGAGAAGAAAAGCAAAGCTTACTCTTGAGGTATAACTTCTAAAAATGAAGGACTAGAGAATTTGGACAAAGCGTCCCTCTGAGAAGAGTTACGCAATTTGGATGGAAATGAAAATATCTCTTCAAAGCATTTGAGAATTAGTAAGGCAGTAAACAAGTAAGGCTAAGCAGCAGAAGGAAATCCAGGGGGCGTGGCCCCAGTAGATGGAGACATTGTTCCCCGGTGCATCTGCTAGTGGAGTAGAGAAAGTCACAGTGCTAAGGGGAAATGGTAGTTCCCAGTCCAGCAGGGCAGAGTGACTGGTAAATGCCCCAAGTTTGGAGTTGGACTTTTTGTAGAAATTGACAATTGATTCTAAAACTTGTATGGAACTGCAGATCCAAAAATACTGAAGACAATTTTGAAGAATAGAAAAAGTGGGAAACTTACTATAATAGATATAAGACTTATTGCAAAACTTCACTAATTAAGATACTGGTATCGATGCAGGACAGACAAATGGCTCAGTGGAACAGAACTGGGTTCAGAAACCCACTGTGGTTATCTCGATTTGTGATAAAAGTAGCATCACAGAGCATCGTCCAAAAGGCAGTCATTTCAAACAGTGGTGTTCGGTTACCTGGGCAATTACATATCTGATCCTTATTTAATCCCACGTACAATTTCAGGAGAATTGTAGATCTGTGTGTGGAAGATAAAACACAACTTTTAAATGATTACTCAGTATAATATCCTCATGACATATTTTCATGATCTTAGGTTAGACATAAAGCAGAAATCATAATTGAAACACTTAATAATTAAAATTAAAGTGCAGAGCACTGTCATGTGATGCTATTATGATAATGAAAAAGGTAAATCACAAAGTGAAAATGTATTTGCAGTACTTGGATCTGAGAAAAGTCAGGCAACCAGACTGGAAGAAGCACACAGATAGCAACAGATAAAATGATATTCTAGTTGATTGAAAATTTGAACAGATACTTCACAACAAATATCCAAAATACTCAGTAAGCATGTGATAAGATGTTCAGCATGATCAGTCTTTAGGGAAATGCAAATTAAAACCTTATTGACCCAATACACACCCACTAGAATGGTTAAAATTTAAGAGTAACAATACCAAAAGTCGGTGAGGATATATATATATACATCACTGGAAATCCTCATACTGCTACTGGGAGCATAATGTGGGACAGTCATTCTTTATACACTCTTGCGTAGACATAGGATGTTCCCAGCAACCTTCTTCCTATTCCTAAAAGCCAGAAAACTAGAAAAACTGAAAGGTATAGTAAATAAAGGCATGTTCACTCAGTGGCTTTCTCTGCACCAATAGAAATAGAATGGGTTACAGCTGTAAGTAACAACATGGGTCAATCTCACAAAAATAAATGCTTCTAAAAGAAGTCTGATATACGTAAATACTTACATTATAAAAGTCCATATAAACAAAGAAAGCTCATAATCAATGGAGTTGGTGCTAGAAGCTAGAATAGCAATGACCTTCTGAGAGGAGAGAGGCGCCACAAATGATTGGGCTGGTTAGGTGGGGGGATTTCCAAGTGGCTGGTAGAGTTCTTTCTGCTGATCCAGGTAGTAATTGTATGGAAAGATGATGCCAAGCATATTTTGATGTGCTAATTGCCTTTTGTATTTTTCCTTTGAGAAATGCCTATTCAAGTCCTTTTTCATTTTTGGATTGGTCACTTTGTATTTTTAAAATATACCTCCCATCTAGATGAATATCTTTTGCAGTATTGCTTTAATATACAAATGTTGGAAATCATATTTTCAAAATGGATGTGATGCTTCCATACTGTAAAATACTCTGCAACTATTCAAAAGAAGAAATAGAGGCATATGTGCTAATCTAGGGCATTCTTTTTCTGTGGAGCATTTTTAAATGAAAAAGCAAATTACAGAACAGTATAATTCCATTATAAATTCGTAGAAGAGAATCTAAAGGATACATACCTAGGTGAAAAGAATAGGTAGCAAGAGACATTCCATTTTTTCTCGGTGTGCTTCAGTATTAAATCCTTTAATATGATCATGTATTGCTGTATGAAATATGAAAACAGATTGTAGTCACCCCTGCACTCCATCCTGTCCAAATAGGGAGTTTTCCAAGAGTCCTCCTTAATGCACCTACCCCATAAAATCGATATTTTTGACAATAGCTTTAATGTAGGTATTTTATTTCATTGACATACCTGTGTCAGAAGCAGCACAGTTGAAAGGACCAAGAGCAGGCTCTAACCTTGAGTTTTAATCCCTGTGCCAGGTGGTCGCTGCCTGTGTGTGGTCTTTTGGCTTCTCTGATTTCCAGTTTCCTTATCTGAAGAGTGGGGCAAGGTTGTTTGGAACATTAGGGATTAAGGCACTTAAAGCTCCTGGATACTTAATGAATGTCGGCTGGTTTTTTTTTTTTTTTTTGCTTTATGTGTATTTGCTATGTCACTGAAAGTCTGTCAGAAACTAGATCTGTTTAGTTTACATAGATA